GGCGTAGGAGCGGGGAAGGGAGGCTGTGCCCTGTCCCCGTTCCTCCCACCCCTGGGCAGCAGAGGCCAAGCAGGGCTGTGGGCGCTGCTGAGGCCCCGCTCCCCCTCTGTGCCCTCGGGGGGTCTGTGAGGGAGAAGCCCCCGCGGTGCCCGGGGCACCTTCGTCAGAGGGTTTTCTGGAACGGGGGCACGCTTGTCCTTTTAATTTTTAACATTGTCCGTGATTTCAAATCACGAACTTTCTGTGCAGTTACCTGTTGGCGGTGGTGTCTCCTGAATTGATTCGCATGTGGTAATGAAGTACTTATTGCAAATAAACGTTTTCATTTGGGTTTTGGCTGATTCGTTGCCTTTATGCCTGTATTATGTCTCCTCCTCACAGTGGTGTAAGTCCAAAGAATGACAGCTATGTTGCTCTGAAAGTTAGATCTGAGCTTGTGCCTTTGGCACAAGGCTGCGTGGATGTTGTGGGTTGTCTTTCCTGGGCCTTTGTGGGGCTCACTAGACTTCCTTGAAGGCTTGTTGGGTAACCTTGCAGGCTTTTCTGGGCTCCACGTTCGATTTGGCTTTGGCCTTTTAGTTAATATTCTTCTGGATTTGAAGGAAGAATCGTGAAAGCTTTTATGTGAGTGAGGAGACACAGTTTTCACAGATTCACAGTAGAAGTGAATCGTGAACTTGGGAAGTTTTGTTGCTGGAAGTTCAGTTGCAAAGTACTTTTTGGAAATCGGAGGCAAGTTGTGCAGAAGGTAGGATACGCTGCTGCTATGGAATTGCTTCTCCTTCCCCCATCAGCCTCAGGTGTTTGGAGGAAGAGTAGTAAGTTCTGTTTACTAGTGTTACGTGCTGCAGATCTTCATGTCCTACAGTGTTACCTTGGATCCCAAGCTCTTATCTTTACTGTATAGGAAAGGAAAATTAAGTTTTATATGACTTACGATAGCTTTTATTTACACACTGATAGGCTGAGATTTGGGGGAGAATGTATTTAAATAAAATCAAACCATTTCAGGTAGAAATCTCAAGGAAGAACAGGCTGTCTTGCATAGTTTTCTAATTTTGGAGGCCTACAACTTCAGCCTTGCTTGGGTAGTGGTTTCTGGTTCAAGTTGAGCCTAGCAGTGAGCAGCAGATTGAGGTTTGGTTTAATATTTCTGCGAGGCAATAACATGTCTCTTTCTAGCAGAGTACCCAGTATTCAGCAGCTTGCTCTGTATCTTCTGCTGATGACTTTGTGTGTACTTCCAGAGCCATGGATGACTTCGAAAATAACACCACCGTCTTCTCTGCCCTGCGATCCCTCAACAACTTCATTTCCCTGGAGGGGGTATCTGGGCCGGCGACGCCAGGCTCGTCTCGAAGCGCCTTGCAGATTCAGTACCAGCAGAGGGTGCAGGTGAGGTGTCCTCATCCCGGTGATGCCTGCATCGCTTCGGTGTGGTTGCGTGTTCCTTTTGATTCCAGGCACCGGGATTGATTTCATTAAGATCTGACCATTCTTTCTACACCTGATATTCATGCAAGCTCAATAATGGAAGCTTGCTTTTGGTCAACGTTCTGGAATCTTTACATTCTTATAAGGTGTCAGACATTCGTTTCTGTTTTGTAAATTTCAGAAAGGTCCTTTAAATTTCTTTCCTGCTGGTTATAGCTGCATCCAGCTCAGGGAATTAAATTATAAGTTGTTTTCATATTGCTGAACAAAGGAGCTTTTATCAATTAATATTTTTCTAGCAAGTAATTTTGTTAATTTTTTTTTTTTAAATTTACAATCTTCCTTAAAGTTTCTTTGCTTGGACAGATGCAGGAGACTTGGTTTGTGTGTGGCTTTGATTTGCTGAGCAGTTGTGCTTTCTTGTCCACTGCTGTTCGTTTCCACGTTTGTTTTTGACTTTTTCCTGTCAGCTGCCTCATGCTCATGAAGCATGAAGTTGACATTTTGGCTCATAAGGACTGTTTATTAGCTGCATTTAAATTTCTTAATATAATTTCCATGCAGTATTTCTATTTCTAAGTATTTCTTTTAAGTCTCTAAGAATAAAATGAACTTGCTTTCTTTTGGATGTAAATCTGCTTTGCATTTGGGATGTTGGAAAAAAACCTATGGATTTTCTGTCTGTGGTACAACTCTGGTTACAGAGATGGTTAGAGGAGGCTCTCCTGGTTAGAGATTCTTCCTTAGCTCTGTTTTGAATGTACAGTGCTTAGACATGAGGTGTTCTATTAATATTGTCTGTGTTCTAAGGTAATTGGAATGAAGTGTATTGTAGCAGGTAGAAAACCATATTATTTTGTTCAGCAGTTGAACTTCCTGGGGAGCATGATCTCTGCTTCTTGGGTTACTTTTATGAGGCTTGGGGAGTTCATCATTAACATTTTTTCTTCTAGGTAGAGAAGTTCATTTTGTCAGAGTATCTCTAGAGATTGAATGAGAAATTCCAAATGAAGAACTTGACACTTGCTTCTTTCCAGCTAACACTGATTTGTTGTGGGTTTCTGAGTGTGATGTTGAACTCTTGGTTTCCCCATCTGCAGTTGGTGTGAGAGTACCATAAATATGGTGATAGTTCCCTTGTAATTTGTGAAATGGCATGTGAGCTGAACAGTGCAAGGTGGGAGCTAGCAATGTTATATGCTGTTAATGGTGTGTAATGTCCATTTTCACACATGGTCTGGTGAGATGGAAGAACAAGCTGGGCAGATCCACTCCAAATCCCAGCTCCTGCAGGTGGAACGAGAGAAGATGCAGATGGAACTTAGCCACAAACGCGCTCGCATTGAACTGGAGAAGGCAGCTAATACCAACGCCAGGAACTATGAGGTAAATACATCAATTGCAGATGGTTTGATATCACAGGCCTAAGTCAGAACATACATAGTGCATCTACGTTGGTGTTTTAGTTTGGATTGGAGGTATACTCTTGACTTCTCACATGCTATGCTTTGGTTTGCAGTGGAATGTCTAAGAATGTTGTATAGTCAGCTTTTTGGGGGATGAAACTTAATTGAAAGGTGGAGGCCAGGAGCAAGTCTAGTGTTCCCCAACTGCTAATGGACACTCTCTTCAGAGCAAGACTTCAGCAAGCCTGTAGCAAATGCTCCTGGAATGCATTTACTGTGTTTGCATTCACTGCAGATGTGGTGGTGGTGTGGGTGTCAAGTTCCCAGCACCAACTCTTTTGCTTTACATCTCCCCTCACAGAGCATTGCAGTAACTTGCTGATGTACACCAGAGAGTGAACATCAGAGCCTGGTTTGGTTGACAAACCAATGACCTGATCACAAGCTTCCATTAGTTTAGCACTGAAGTCATCATGGGTAGCAGTAACAAAAAGGGATTTGATATTTGTTTCTCCCAGAAGTATTTCAGTGTTTTTCTCTCAGATGAATTTAAACTTCTACTGGCACAAGTGCCAGCATTTACTTTGTGTGACTGTAATTAATTGGAGTGGCAGCAGTGCCAACTGTGCACTGTCGCACAAGAGAGCTTGCACTGATAAAACAGTGAGCCTCACTCAGGGAAGAAGAGCTTTTATTGCTTTCTGGTCTGATGCCCACATATATTTGCTTAGCTACGTTACTGGAATAAGTAGGAGATCTGTGGGTTTTGTAGCACAACAAAGGTCTTGTATGAGACTGATTATTAAAAAAGAAATCTTTTAAAAAATCATAAGCATGTTTTATTGTATTTTACAAGGGTGCTGGGTGTCAGATTTAGTGTGTGGTTGTGAAATAGCGAGTCAGTGTTCCTCTGAAGTCAGGTGTGGGATTAAGCTGAGTTCATACTGGAATGTAGCTGAGTCAGTCACAGAAACCCCTTAAATACTGGTACAAAAAAAAGAAGCAGCACTAATCCAGCACTGTGGTAATTACCCTGCTCAGATTCTGTGTTTTTCTGAGTCATGTGGATAAAGGTTTTGGGCACCTCACGTTGCTTTGCATAATCCTTGCTTACTATGTAAATCCGTGTCTCGATTTGCTTTGATTAGCAAAGCAATTTACTACACATTTTTTCAATAGTCAATTTGTGGTACGAATAAACTGAAATGGTATATGAGAGGTTGTCAGAGGTCAAAAATATTTATTGATTTCATTGATAATACTGTGCATTTAAACCTGGTTTCTTTTCTGTTAAATATCCTCATACAACTTGAAGAAGTTGCAGAGGAAAGTTTGTCTTATTAACCTAACTGTTGAGGTCTGAGTTTCTGAAAGTCAATTTGCTGTGCATGGGTCAGCTTCAAATTGAGCATCAAATGGTTTCATCTTTGAGCATGCAGTGGAATCATGTCTGTGTTCTCATCTTCATTTCTTAGTCTTCCGGATCTCTTAGACTGCCTCTTAATTTTCTAGCTCCTTTGCCCTGGGTAGGGCCTTGACATTGAGTTGCTGTTGGTAAGATTTTTGCCCTTGCTAGTGCTCTGATCACTATAATGAGAAAGGGAGACAGGAGAGATGAAAACAGCTTTAGTTTTGTGCTACTTTCCTCTTATGTCTCTTTGTATTTTGTTTTTTTCTGTTGCAAGCGAGAAGCTGACCGTAACCGGGAGCTGCTAACGCGCATAAAGCAATATCAGGAAAGGGAAACAGACGCTGAAAATAAACTGAAAGAACAAATGGAGATGAACAAATGCTATAAGAAGAGCATGGAGACAATGAGTAAGAAGCTGCAAGAGAAGGAGAGCAAATTAGCTGAAGCCAATGAAGTAAGAACAGAATAAATTTCTAATCCCTTTGTAGCTTCCGGTGACTGACTTTGAGGTTCTTGTGAATTGAAAATACCCTTTTTGATTAAAAAAAAAAACAAACCCTCAGAAAACAAACAAAACCAACAACCCAGACAAAACAATGGGAAGCACTGTATTTATGAATAAACCCTGGTGGTACGTGTCCCTTTGCTGTCAAAGTTTAGAACCTAACCAAGTCCAGAGACAAGTGAGCAGGTCAGAAGATGTCGCTGTGTTAATTAACAATGAGGAAAGATTTCTTAGGTTGATACGGAGAAAGAGAAAAAAGTGCAAGGCAATATAAAGCATCTAGGTTTGGAAGTGAGGTTACATGACACTGAGTAAAGAAAGGGGAAATAATGGAGGAGGTAAGATGGGAAGGTGTTGAGGGAAGTAGGGAGAACTGTAGAATGGAGAAGACCAAAGTTATGTATGAAGTAATTCCTCCTGAAGTGTCTTAGGTGCCTGTGTTTTCCACTGTAGAATGAATGCTTGGATAATTCACTGATTTCAGCTCTTTGGGATGAGCAGATCATCTTCCAACCCTCAGCCTTTTCACGTACCATTCTAGTTAAGTTCAGCTAGTTCATTTGTAACTTCTCTGTTTAGTTGCATTAGCTGTACACCACTAGAGTCCTTAAGCTGTCCTGCTGCCTAGCTATCACTGCAAATATTTGTGTGATAAAGCAGGTAAACAGATGTAACGTGCCACTTATTGGTGCTTAAAACCAGGGAGACAGTGATGGCATGTGAGAGAAACTAAACCCATGCATGAAATGTGTGCAGCATTTCTGTTCCTGTGTTCTTTTTATATCTGTCAGTATCGAGAGGAGAACCCTACGTGTTTCTCTGTGTAGAAAACACCTTACATGTGGAATGTTTCGAGATTTTTATCTGTTACAGGGAGATGACTAATGGCTATTTGAAACAAACCTGTGAAGTTTTCTTTAGAATAAAGATATTTAGAACAGCGTTTTAAAATCCACTGGCCTCCACTTTTAAAGAAAGCATAATACGTCTGGTATTTAGTTGAGGCAAACCCAGATACTTTAAATTTTGAAACCCAGCCAAAATGTATTTGGAACGGTTGTGAGATAATGTTTTTACTTTAATATATATAGTTATGTTTTATCATCATCTAGCTTTGAAGCTTGATAGTTTTTATGCCAGTTTGAGGTCACCCACTTAATAGGTAATGGAAATGACAATTTGGGTGACAGATGAAAGCAACTAAATGACTTTCTCTTGCCTTTGTTTTTGAGGTGAGTTTGAAGGTCTGAAGGTTTGCAAGAGTGGGATTGTTTCTAGATTCACTGCTTGTACTTTTAATTTGGATATGATTTCTGTTTATCACCATCCATAATGTTTGGCTTGGAGAGTCATAGCCTTCTGTGTTTATTCTTTCTTTCCATTAATTCAGACAATCACTGTATTGAAAGGGAAAATATCAGAGCTGCAGTGGAGTAAAATGAATCAAGAGATGCAGATGACAAGCCAAGACTCTCAGAAGCAGGAACTGATGGAACAGCTGGATGTTCAACATAAGTAAGCAGGGGATCAATGACTGTAGGGAGAAAAAGGGAAACAAAACTTCAGTCTTCTGCAGCTGTTGTCACTCAGAAAACTTTCCACAGCGTTTGATTTCCAATCTTCAAAGGGGTTCTTTGATCTGGATGTGCAGGTTATAACCGTTGTTTGGAACTAGCTCTGAGGTGCAATTTAATTGTACCTTGAGGAAAAAAAAAACCCCAAACTTGAACTTAAAATCTCAGTGATGTCTCATTCTCATCGTGGAGAGTTAACAGAAGGCATGTGGGTGGGAAAGGCTAATCTGAACTTTATAGACTGAACAGAACAAAAATACCAAGCCTTAAGTCCTAGTTGAGGGGTAGTTGAAAGATGTGAGTGTGGTTCTTTTTTTCCCTTGCTTACCAAGTTCAACTCCTCAGGTGCTCTTTATTTATTGTGTGTATTTGTTGGTTTCAGAGTTAAGGTGGCTTTGATTTTTGGGTGTTTTTCAAGCTGCATCTTTTTATTAAAATGAGTATTTTTGCCTCTAAATTAGAGGGAGATGGTATGAGTGTGAAACTCTGAGAGAACCTATCTGCTGTAACAGAACCATTTACCTTGTTAGTAGAGTTTGAAAATGTTTGTCAGAGATACTTTTGCATGTAGGTGGTTTCTGGTACATGATTCCTGGGTGCTAAATGCCTCTTGTATCTACACCTAATAGAAAATGGCAAGAAGCTTGTCAGCAAATCCAGATGTTGCAAGCAAACCAATCCCATCTAGCAGAATATGAACAGAAGATTAAGGTAAGAAACTCTGTGGGCTGTATAAGACTTTAGTTTTTAATCTCTTCAGTGAAGAACAGAACAGTGTTTTTCTAAAAATAATCACTGTTGCAGAAAGAAAAGGTTAGTTTGTCATGTAAGAATCCGACATGGTGGCCAGAAAGAGCTGAAGTTGGCTAAACTGACTTGGATGGTCCAGATTACCTGTGCATGACACACTTCACCTCTTTGGTATCGATTGAGAAAAAACATCTACCTATGCTTTCTCAATAGAAAGGTGATTTATATCCTTCTGCAGTACTCTGCAGAAACACTGTGTTTGATCTTGTGCCAGAGCACAAGATTATCCTGCAAAAGATTCACTAGAAGTGGGTCCTTTTAATTATTAGCAGAGATCTTGTTTTGTTAGGAACTGAGGGTAAATAGGTGTAGGGTTTTTTTTTAGGGAAGAGGCAAACCCAGATGTTACAAGTGGAGCAAGAGGCATCCCTGCTTTGAGTGATGGACTGGGCCAGATGACCCAGTGAGTTCCCTTCCAACTTTATGCAAGTCATTGATTTGAGTTTAAAAAGTACAATGGAGGAGTAGGTCCTATGAGTTCCAAGTTAATCATTGCTGTCCTCTTGCAATCCCATGTTTTCTAGGATCTGGAACAGAAGCTCTTTTTTTTGGAACATGATGCACTAATTGTCAAGAACATGAAGACAGAACTGGCTCGTCTCCCAAAAATGGAGCGGGAATTGCGCCAACTCAAGGAGGAAAATGCCTACTTCAGGTGAAAGAAGGGTTCAATTGCTGAGAGGGTTAGCTTGTGTTCTGCTACAGTTGTAGTATATGTGCTTTCAAATCCCTCTGTAGGGCTGCCATACATGAAGTGTTAGAAGGAGGCTGAAATATTACATATAAATACTGGGTCTGAATTGAGCAGGGTGTGATGGCTACCAGAGGATTTGAGAGGATCTGGGTGATCTTCCTGAACACAGCGAGAGCCTCACAGAATGTGTATTGATTGTTCTTGGATGTTTGTTAGAACAAAATTCAGTGTTTAAAGATAGCGATGAGCTCTGTACAGGTTTGGGAAATGAATCCCTATAGAGAGCAGAGACAGCTGATCACTTCTTTAATAACTCTTTTTTGCTTAGTTATTGTTGCCACTGTTTTAGAGGCCTGTTGTTCCAGCACCATGTTTGGAAAGTCTCTTGTTTAAATGTCTAAAGCATTCTAATACAGACCTGGGTCTCTGAAGTGGCAATTAGTTTGAAAAATTAAGTTGCTATGTACTATGAAATAACTTGCCTTAGAGATTTATATATTTCTTGTTAGAGTAAACTTAATATCCATCTTTTGGTGCATGTTAAAAAAAAAAACCAACCCTGAGTTATATGTGTGATCTTACCATCTTTTTCTCATCCTTAAATTAAGGCTCTTGGGTTTCTTCTTGTTTCATTATAATTTTAAACAGGTTATCTTGGAATCTCTTCTCATGCTTGGGTGTTTTTGTTGTGCACAGAAATGTGATATCAACAGCTTAAAGGTCATTATTTTACAAACGGTTTTATCTTCTCAGCCTTGCACACCTTAAGCAGTGTCAAAAGCGCTCAGCCATCACCAAGCACTCAGAAAGCCCCAGTGTATGCCACTTGCTGTGTTCCAGCCCTGTGTTCAGCCTGCCTGAAGACTGAAGTAGGAAGCCTTTTGCTACCCTTCATGCTGTTTTGCCAATCAGTGAAGCAGATACAAACCTTCAGGTTCTTTGGACATAATGAGGGTGGCACTTAGAGTAGGAAAAAGCCGAGTTTAATAATGCTGAGTTTCTGTTGTAGCAGTGTCTTTGCAGTGAGGGTTATAGAAGCAAGTCAGCTGAATGCCATGAACTCTCTTCAATGTCATAGGAGTCCCTTGTAATTCCAGGTGTATCTGAAAGTTTGTGAGAGTGAATCAAGTTGCTTGACTCTTTAATTGTTGTCTCTCTTTTTCACCACAGGGAAATGAAAGAAAACAATGGATTGCTCAAAGAGGAGGTAGAAGGTCTCCAAAGAAAACTGGAACGCTATGAGAAGGTCCAAGCACAGCTTGTGACTGTTGAATTGGAAAATGAGGTGAGCAGCTGGGAACATTTGGTGGATGAGTGGGATAGAGGTTTCCTTTGTTGCCTGTCCTGTCTTGTGGGCTCTTCCTGTATTTTTTACTTGAGATACGGTACTTGTTTTAATTCATGGGTTTGAACAGTCTTAAATGTCAGCATGAGAGGAGCTATGGCAGTGAAGGTGAAAAAGGCAAAAGGTTGTTTGCTGTTCAGTGTGAGTTTCTGTGTAAAGAACAATCTCCTCATAGTGTCTTTTTTGGCCTTGCTGTTTCTTTCTTACCTCTCTCCTGCTAGAAATGTCATTTCTGGTGTTAAACTCTGCCCAGACATGGTGTTGCTGAGCAGGTGTGTGGTAAGAACCTTGGTAGGCACTTGGGTTACTGCCAGTGCCAGCAGGGCCAGAATGTGGTTGGTCTCAGATTAATAAAATTACTTTGCTTCCATCCCACCCTATGTCAAATAGACAGCAAATTGTCAAGAGTTTAACCTTACTGTGAAACCTGTTGATCTGCATAGCTATAATGGTGTCTGATCAGGTTTAGATAATACAATTTGCCATTGAGTAAAAGCAAAAAGCTAAAGGAGAAACTGGAAGAGGAGAAATGGGCACTTCAGTTACTACAGGATCAGTGGTGAGAATACAGCTCATTTTCTTCTCCACTGCCAGGATTCTGGTCTACAAGGTCTAGTACACTGATGGTAGCTCACAGGGTTAGATAATTGACAGTGCTGAAGTGTCACAGAGCTGTGGTGACAGGGAATATGTTTGTGAGGAGTGGGGAATGACAACCAGAAATGCTAGCTAAGAAGATAATGAAATCCAAAGGAGGAAAAAAAAGACCCTAACTTTGAATGGAGGATTATGGGAAAACTGTGGAAAGTGACTTCTTAGAACATTTGTCTGTGTCTCTAACTCTTCTTTTAATCTCTACTTCAGAAACTTCTGGGAAAATTGAAAAGCTGGGAGAAAGTGGACCAGAGCACTGGCTTGAACATCAGGTATGTGCTCACAGCTGCAGAGAGGTGCAATTTTAAATGATTTTCCTTTCCTCTGAATCATCTGATCTCTGAAGTGTGGTGGTCATGTTTCGTGTTAGCTCTTCTCCAAGTGGAAGCTCTTCCAGTACTTTATTATATATGAGAAGAATCATAGGATACACGCTATTATAGAGTACCGTTGAGAACTAACGAATGTTTTTCACCAAGTCAGCCTGACAGTGTCTCTGAGGCTCAGTTTTGAGTTCTCTGAACTCTTCGTGTACAGGCATTCATGTTTAGTTAGAAACATGCTAGCTTAGTAAGTGAACTCTTAAGAATATTAAGAATGTGTTATGTTAAGAATGTGTTCAGAGAAAAGAATGTATTACTCATGACAAATTGTTGTAAATATGATTTCTTTGAAATCTGAGTATCAAAATAAGCTGCCAGATCATGTTGTTTTGACTTTTCTTCACTAAAGTAGCTGAAGAACTGTTTCATTTTGGCTAACGAGAAATGGAATAAGCTCAGTTTCTTATGAAAGGGGGTAAAACTCTTCACCCCTTAGTGGTGTTTTGTAACAGCAGCTTGTCAGTTTGGGTACTGTTACTTAACAGCTTTCTGACAACTGGAGCACTGAAGCAGATTTTAACGTCTCTGGTACATATGTGGCATACAGAGGGGCTGGAAGTGGTGCATCTTCTGATCATTTTCTTCCACTGAAAAAGGTTTTCTGTGTAACTAAGATGCTTTCACGTTTCAGTACTGCTTTATCATCTCTAAATTGTTGTTACACTAGAAGGAGAGGTGCTTCTTTGTAAATAACCGTTTTGATGTGAGCATTCTAGTCCAGATCACCTTTCATATTGGATCAAAGCCTGAGCTGCAACATGAACCACAGAACCTAATTTTACTAGTTGTTTCTTTATTCTGTTTGTTACACATTCCCAACAACAGAGCTGTATCTGCATGCTGCTGGGGTTGTTTGGAAGTAGGAGTGTTTGAATATGCACTTATGGTTTGTGCACATTATTGCTTCATGTAAAAAATACTTGTGTTTAACTTGGGAAAGCCCCCTTAATTTTCACACTGTTTTCTGTTTAATGAGGACAATGAACCTTTCTCTAGAGGCATGCTAGTAGGTAGCATGACTAAGATCCTCCCCTGCCTCTGCTGAGGATACATACGTTTAGATGGAGTTAGAATTGTGCTGCATCTCCTATGGCAAGGAACGGCCAGAAATAGCATGAATCCTTTTCACAAAACCTGTGCTATCAGACAGCGGAGTAAAAGCTTTTTACTTACCTCAAGCTGTTAAAGGTTTAATGAGGTAATTTCACACTGGGAGAGAAATGGAACCAAGTGATTCTGCCTGTGGAAGTCTAATACTCCTTCATTTAAAATCAGAATATTCGCTGGAAAGTGTTAGGCTTTGATTGGGCCATATTGTTTAGTGCTATTAATGGCATCTTCTCTTTCAGAGGAGGGAATTGCTCCTGAGAAAAATCATCTTTTGCATGCAATTGTAGCAAGTGGAGCTGGATGATTTCCTTCTCTCTCTTCCCCCCCCGCCCTTTTTTTTTGTTGTTGCTTAGATTTCTTACAGCATGAATTACGTTGCTTTTCAGTCAGGATTGATGGAGATGATGAGAGATCATTGTCCTAGTTACATTCCTGGAGTATGCTGTTGGTGAATCATAAAATCATAGAATCAACTACGTTGGAAAAGACCTTTAAAATCATCAAGAGAAGAGTTAATTGCTTATCTTATAGTAGAAGAAAATAGGAACAAGTTGGATAGTTGTCCCAAAGAGCCAGAGCAATGTGCTGTTTGCTAATAAGTAGATAAGCAAGGAAGAAGGGAAATGTATCTTATCATACTCTTCATGGGTACAGAGAATGTAAGGGAAGTGTGTCCAGCATGTGGTGTTTTAGGAAAGAATGATTTTTCATTTCCTCCAGCACTTCCACAGGGCTTGTTCTGTGTCTGCTCTCAGTGGTTTTTGTTCACTGATTGCCTGGTCCCAGCAGGCTTTTTGTCAGATTGGCTTATAATCAGACCTTGGAGTGTAATTTTATGTGATAATACTTGGAAAGGAGGTGCAGCTTTTAGGAGTGTAGTGGTAATCCTACTGGCTTTAGTACTGGTCTCTTTTTGGTAACAATGAAAGAGCGAAGTGTTTATAATGCTTCCCCTTTTGTGGGGGGGAAACAAGTTCATTACCAGTTTACTCAAGGGCTAATCTTATGTTTTCTGGTTCTGGATTCCACTTGTAAGCTCCTGGGTTTTCTTCTTGCTCTCATAAACTACAGAAGCAAAACCAGCTTTAGCTCTAGAGCCTGTTGGTGTGTTTTGTGTTGCTGTTGTGCAGTGTTCTGTCCAGAATTTGCCTTTGGAAGATGCCTGCCTTATACAACTGTTACAATATCCTTGTAAGCGCCACAATACCCAGACAACAAATTAATACACATGATAGTTATGTATGGTTCATGTATACACATTATGCATCTCCTAATCTTTTTTGTGGTCAATTATAAGTCCTTTTGATATTTTGATCTTCCTACTGCCTACTTTCGTGGTATAGTTGGCTGTCTTTTATTGTGGATGTGATTTTTGTCTTGTAGGTCTTTTTTGTGAGTTACTGTTATGCTGCCAGGGATTTTCGTACATTTGTCATGTGTTGCTCTGAGTT